AACTAAAAAAACACGTTTATTTATTACATTTATTTATAAATGTATTGAGAATTCTTTATATGTACAATGTGTGTTTACGTACCTTGCGAGTCCATATTGCACAACACAATTAACTATGTACATTTTTTGTCATTCCCTGAGTTTAGTCTGATGACTTGCACTGAATGGAATGAGCCAGGGATGCGTAGTCCGGACAGTAGCTGCTGACAGCCAGCTTCAGACACACTTCCAAATGATCATCAGTCATGGTGAAACGGCACTTGGACTTGATCTTTATGTGGGAAAAGGCTGACTCACATAAATAAGTAGAGCTGAATAATGCAGTCAAGGAGGTAGCACATGTTCTCATGTTTGGGTACTTTCCTTCTGTGAGTAAGTTCCAGAACTGTTCATGCACTCTGGACTTTAGCTGAAGTTCGGCTTGTGGTGTCAAAATCTCCCATTCCGTATGAAAGTGACATATTTTTATGTTTTTGTCTTCTTACTTGGTCCAACTCCCTCACTCATTTTAATACCCTTTCTTACGTTTAAGAGAAAACACCCAACGTCTAAAAATTGGCGATAGCTCGTCAGTTTTGCTGCACTTAGCGCAGTTGTTTGCACATGCGTTTGACACCTAAGATTACATATGATTGGCTGTGCTGTACATCAGTTAAGTGACGGGATTAATGCTAGGCTTACGTTTATTTTTTTAAGGCCATGCAATCTACCCACGCTACATTTGCTATCAATTAGTAGATCGCGATCAATGTATTGAGAGCACCCCTGGCCTAGCATAATGTTTTTGAAGTTCATTTGTATTATGTAGCACATATCAGCACTTCATTTCATCTTATAGCTGGATCAATCTTCCATTGTATGCATGGAAGATTGCATTTTATTTATTTTATTTTATTTATCCATTCATCAGTTGAAGGACATTTAGTTATTTTCTGTTCTTTAGCTATTAGGAATAATGCTGCCAGAGCAGAGCATTCGTTTATAGGTTTTACGTGCGCATGTTTCATTTCTTTTAGATATATGTTTTAGAGTGCAAGGCTGGATTATTTGGTAACTTTTTTGTTAAAAGTCATCCTAATGGCTGCGAGGCACCTGGTTTGAACAATAGGCAGTCTGTTTGTTAATGTAACACTAAAACTTTATTGTTTTGTCAATAAACCATGATGAAGCTTAGAACTGGATCACCTGGCCCTTTCTCATCTTATCTCCTCCCAGTCGTGCATCGCTTAATAGCCAACGTTCTCCTAGATTTGCAGTTGGGCTTAACACATTCAAGCCTCAACACAATCTTCTTTGTTGTTTTAGCCTTCTTCCAGAAAATTGGCTTAGTCTGGCCACCATCGCCACTCTGCTTCCTGTCATATTGTCACTTTCCCTGGGCAGACAGACTCTTGGCCCTTCTTGTACTGTCACTTTGTGGGTTGGTGCTTGCCACACCTCTTACAGAAAGTCCAGCGGGTTATAGGAGCATTCACCATGGTCACAGGAGCACTACCAGCACGAAAAGCAAACTAGGCAGTCTTGTGTAGAGATTTACAACTTTGGAAACCCCAGGGAGCAGTTCTAGTTTCTTACAGGATGTGTTAGAATTGAGTCCATGACAGGGCCTTGGTCTGGTTCTGGGACGGTAGTGAAGACTGATAGCATAGTCTGGGTCGAGTGTTGGGGAGGTTTTTCTTTAATTATGGTGAAATGTATACACAGAGCATTTACTATTTTGATTGAAATTGTTTCTGTGTGATTCAGTGGCATTACAGTCACCACTGCCTATTCCTGATTGTTGCGGTTTTTTGTTTTGTTTCGTCAGAGAGACTTGGCCCCCTCAATACCACTCTCTTCTACCTTCCGTCCATCCCTAGTAGCCACTAGTTTGGCCTCTATGTCTTTCTTTGCCTATCTGAAATCTTCATATTAGGTCATAAAAAAATCAATCTTTTTTTTATCTGACATTTCATCTAAGGAGCTTTGGTGGTGCACCAGTTAAAATGCTCAGGTGCTAGCCCACAGGTGCTGGTTTTAACCCACCAGCTGCTTTGTAAGGTAAAAAACGTGGCAGTCTGCTGCTTGTGAAGATTTCAGCCTTGGAAGCCCTCGGGAAAGCTCTCCCCTTCCCTGTAGGTCACTAAGAGTCAGATTCAGCACAGTGATAATAGATTGGGCTTAGGTTTGGGTATTCCACTCACTATAATGCTTTCAAGGTTCATCCATGTCAGAGTTTTTGTCAGAACTTCCATTCTCTTATGTTTGAGTATATGCCACATTTTATATATCCATTCATTTGTTAATAGATACTGGATTTGTTTCTACCCTTTGCAATAATGCTACCATGAACGTTGGTATACAAGTATCTGAGCCTCAGCTTTTACTTCTTATGGGTTTATATTTCGGAATGGAATTGCTAGGTCATAGGGTAGCTCTGTGTTTAGGTCTTGTAGGAAGCACCATGCTGATTTCTACAGAAGCTGCATCATTGTATAATTCTGCCAGCAATAAATGAGGGTTCCAATTTCTCCACATCCTCGCCACACTTACTATTTATTCTTCATCTTATTTATGTATTTTGATTTTCACCATTCTAGCAGATGTGAGTGGTATCTTCTTTTAGTTTTGATTTAGTTTGCATTTTTATATTAACAAATAAACACCATTTTATATACTGTCAGTCATTTTCCTTAGAAAGATTTCAAACTTTTTGCCCACTTTTAGTTCGATTGAATGGCTTGTCTCAGTTGTTACATTGTAGGAGTGAGTTCCTTACATATTCTGGCTACTGGATTGTGGCTCTTACACAATTTTTCCATTGCGGGGGTCTTTCTGTTCTGCTGTATTGCAGCCTTGGAAACTGTGTGGTGCAGTTCTAATCTGCCCTATAGGGAGATTGGCTTCATGGCAGTGGGCTTATCTGATTCCTGAGTACCAGTGAAGACTGGTATCATACTCTGTGGTTGTTTGAGGGGTTTCTATAATGATGGTGATATAAATGTACAAAACATTTGCCATTTTGGTTGAAAGTTTTCAGACTCTGACATGTTTTGGACATGTTGTCAGGAGGAGGGCATCAGACTTGGTAAAGTGAAGGGCAGTGAAAAAGAGGATGGCCCCCAGCTAAATGAATTGACACCACGGTTGCATCAGTGGGCTCAGGCAGAGGACCAATAGTGACGTGGGTCCAGACAGTATTTCTTTCTGGTGTGCATAGGAACGGACGCGAGGGCACCTAATAGAACATTCATTCTCTTGATAGTGTACTTTGCACCAATTTTTAATGGAGTTATGCTTTTGGTGTATCTAAAACTATTGCCAAATGCAAACTCATAAACACACGTGCTCCTATGTTTTCTTCTAATACATACTTTTGGTTTTTAAATTTAGATCTTCAGTACATTTTGAGCTCATTTTTGTGTATAGTGAAAGGTAAGACCCAACTGATTTGCATGTGTATATCTAGTTGTCTCAGCAACTAGAAGAATCTTGTTGAAGAATTTCTTTCATGGAATGGTTTGAACACCTTTGTTGAAAATCAGCTGACTGTAAATGCACAGGTTTGTTTATGGTCTCTCAGTTATATTCCTTTGGTCTGTATGCCTGCCCTTATACCAGTAACACACTTTCATTACTGTAGCTTCATAGTATATTTTGAAATTAGAAATGTGAGTCTTTAACTGGTTCAAGCTTGTTTTAGCCATTTGAACTTTCTTTTAATCCCATGTGAACTTTAGGGTAAGCTTTTACATTTGTCCAAAAAAAGAAAAGACTTGGGATTTTAATAGAGCTTGCATTGATTCTGTAGATTGTGTTGGATCTCTTAACCACAGTGTGCATCAGAATTATAGCCTTTCGCCATACTTACTCAACCTATATGCTGAGCTGAAAAATGTAGCATCGGTATCAAAGGAGGCTCATTAACACCCTACAGTATTGAGGTAGTTAGTTTATTGTGCCAACCTGGCTGGTAAACACATGTGGGGTTAATTGAAGGGCGGAGGGATAAATGGCTCAGTGAGGCTCGCTTTTCTAGTTCTCGGGTCTCTTGCTGTTTGACGGTCAGACCAGAGTGCAGCTGCCTTAGCCAGTTACCTGCTTTAGCTGGCAAGGCTCACTTCCTGCAAGACATCCCTGAGGAGTAGCCCCATGGACCTACCCCATGCAGCCCTGGGTGCTGGAGCAGCCATGTGGAGACGCCTGCCAGCGCTGAGATGCTTACACATTCACTGACTCGACTTTCCTCCTGCAGTCGGCATCATTGCGTCTGTTTTGTGAGATGGAGGAGGACTTTGTGGCTTGGTGTCGGATGTATGGGTTAATGGGTTAATGATGGACTTGTGGGCGTGGGCAGCACTGGGTTGGGATGTTTTCTTGATGCACACTTACCCTTTATATAAAACTCTCTCTTATACATGAGTTTCTGTGCATTTGTTTCTTTAAAGTACCCAGACTAACACAAGTATGCTGAAAGTGAAGAAGACTTGAATCATTTAGTGTTGAAAATCAAAGGCTTCAGTGTAGAGTCCGTGAAAAAGAAAAAGAAGGCCCTCCACCAAAGAGATCTGCAAAGCAGATGCAACAAAGGATTCACTTGTGACAGTTATGAAGATGACGTCGGACTGCATAGTTTGGTTCTGTTGCTTATGGGATCACTATGAGTCGGAACCAAGTGGATGGATGGCACTCAACCACCGTTAGTCCATGAATTCAGGATATTTTTCCATTTATTTAGATTTTTAAAACTAACTTTCAGTAGTCAGTAATGTTCTGTAATTTCTGTGTATAAATGTTATAAATTAGGTGATCAATTTTCCATTCAACAGTGCATACACACTTTTGTTTTGTTAGTTGCTGACCCCACTTAGCCTATTTCCTCCCTGTGTTTCCTGTTTCCATTCCACCGTCTTCTAGCGCCTGTAAACTTTGTCCTTGGATGAAAGCTGCCCTCAGAATCGCACCAAACAAAAAGATAGTGATAATGTGAAGCCTGAGAAATTTGATTTCCTTTTTTCCAGGAGGAGCTTTTGGATATAAAAGAGCGGCCCCATTCCAAACAGAGACCTCCATGCCTCTCTGAAAAATATGACAGGTAAGGGGATGTGTGCTTTTAGTCTATACCTTTGTGTTATACCAAACATGGTTGAATTAAGAGTGTATTTTGCAGGGGGGGGGTTCGTAGACTTCGCGGGGTTGGGGGCCACTCTGTTAACCACAGCAAGGTCAACAATTAGAAATCACCAGCCGCTCCATAGAAGAAAGACTGGGTTTTCTTTTTTCTTTTTCTTTAATTTTATTGGGGACTCGTACAATTCTTACCACAATCCATACATCCATCCATTGTGTCAAGCACATTTGTACATTTGTTGCCAACATCATTCTCAAAACAATTGCTTTCTACGTGAGCCCCTAATATCAGCGCCTCATTTCCCCCCTCCCTCCCCACTTCCCCCTCCATCATGAACCCTTGATAATTTATAAATTATTATTTTGTCATATCTTACTCTGTCCGACGTCTCCCTTCACCCACTTTTCTGTTATCCGTCCCCCAGGGAGGAGGCCACATGTAGGTCCTTGTAATTGGTTCCCCCTTAAGACTGGGTTTTCTACTCATAGAGTGGCAGGGGTGGGGTGGGGTGGGGTGTGTGTGTGTCTAAAATTGATTGTAGTAATGATTCTCTAACTCTTCTTGATGTGCTTGAACTATTGTGTAATATGTGGATTATGTGCCAATAAAATTGTTAAAAAATAAGTAAATAATTTTTAAGGTTCTAGTCCAGGAAACTCACTGGGGCAGTTCTGCCCAGGACTGTTGGTCACTATGAGTCGGAATCGATTTGATGGCAGTGAGGTTGGGAGTTTTGGGGTCTTGGTAGGCTTTGGGTGGAGAGATTTCAGCAGGTAATGACACTGAGCTTTTGCACATGCCCATTGGGACTATGCCATGTGAACACAATGAAATAGCATCATACAGCATCTTAATCGGGTTCACAATGCTTGAAGATCTGAACTGCAAAGGACAGCTAAGTCAGTTCCTTTTCATCTACCTGTGTGCAGATAAAGCTAAAACTAGAAAATGACTGGGCCAAAGCCACCTAGCAGAAAACAGAACTAAGACTTGGACCCAGAAGGACTTACCAGTGCCTTTTCTCTACCTGTGGGTTTCCTCTTTGTTGTTGTCGCTTGTTTGTTTTATTTGATCCCTGTCAGGAGGACCAGGAGGCCTCAGTGCCATTTGTCTACCCCGCACCCAGATAAACAAAATCATTTGGTCATTACATTATTTATTTTGCATCTCGAGCTCCCTCCTAAGAAGTAGAGGCTTTGATTTGAGAAAACTAAAACTATAGATGGTCTGAAAATCACTACTACAATAACCCTATATTATCACCTTAAGTCATTTCATATCATGTTTGATGGTTCATACTGGCCAACATTTTCTTTTTCCTTTTTTTTTGAAATTGTATTTGTTTACTTATTGTGTTTTTGTGTTTTTTTAAATCATTTTATTGGGGGCTCATAAACTCTTATCACAATCCATACATACATGAGTTGTGTAAAGCACATTTTTACATTCGTTGCCATCATCGTTCTCAAAACATTTGCTCTCCACTTAAGCCCCTGGCATCAGCTCCTCATTTCTCCCCCTCCCTTCCTACTCCCCCCTTCCTCATGAACCCTTGATAATTTATAAATTATTATTTTGTCATATCTTACACTGTCCAACATCTCCCTTCACCCAGTTTTCTGTTGTCCATCCCCCAGGGAGGAGGTTATATTTAGATCCTTGTACTCAGTTCCCCCTTTCCATCCCACCCTCCCGGTGTGGTATTGCCACTCTCAGCTGGTCCTGAAGGGATTATCTGTCCCGGATTCCCTGTGTTTCCAGTTCCTATCTGTACCAGTGTACATCCCTCTGGTCTAGCCAGATTTGTAAGGTAGAATTGGGATCATGATAGTGGAGGGGAGGAAGCATTTAGGAACTAGAGGAAAGTTGTATGTCTTATCGTTGTTGCACTGCACCCTGACTGGCTCATCTCTTCCCTGCAACCCTTCTGCAAGGAGTTGTCCAGTTGCCTACATATGGGTCTTAGGTCCCCAATCTGCACTCCCCCTCATTCACAATAATTTAATTTTTTGTTCCATACTGGCGGCCTTTTTTTTTTTTTTTTTGGTGGCCTGTTCAGGGAATGAACCCACTGGCCAACATTTTATTTTATTTTTTATCGTTTTATTAGGGGCTCATACAACTCTTATCATAATCCATACATACATCCATTGTGTAAAGCACATTTGTACATTCATTGCCCTCATCATTCTCAATACATATGCTCTCCACTTAAGCCCCTAGCATCAGGTCCTCATTTTTTCCCCCTCCCTCTCCCCTATCTCATGAACCCTTGATAATTTATAAATTAATATTTTATCACATCTTGCCCTGTCCGACATCTCCCTTCACCCACTTTTCTGTTGTCTATCCCCCAGGGAGGAGGTCACATGTAGATCAGTTCTCCCTTTCCAACCCACCCCCCCTCTACCCTCCCAGTATCACCACTCACTCCACTGGTCCTGAAGGGATCATCT